GCTGTGGTTTGAGTTCCTCCTCACAGGAGAGGTCAGAGTAGAGCTTCACAGCGGTGATGCCTTCCGTCCAGCAGTGACTTGCCTGGGACTCTAGTTTCCTGCATGTTCAAACACATGCTATCACCTGCTACAAGCACTTCCACGAGTGCTTATTTCGGCCTGGAGATCTGGAAGAATCTCTTGAGAACACGCGAGCTGAGAGCCATCTTACCCCGAGGGTTCACCTGGTACCCTGGACGGTTTCTTCTCACGATGCTCACCAAACTCATGGGTTTGGGATGTCGTTTTGCAAAACTTGCAGACTACAGGGAGTCTTAGCCATCACCAAACGAATTCCTGTAGACTGTAGACTGTTGGGTGGAGAACTCCTGCACTGCCTGGGAAAAAGAAAAGGAATGTCAGTTGCTGACGTTGGATTCATTTGATTCACTTTGAGTCCCTGGGCACAGGTGAAAGACTCCAAGGACTCTCACCTGGCCATCATGATGCCCTGTGAAACAAAAGGGCACGGGGCCAAGCCCTACAGTATCGTAGACCCCTCCTGGAAGACGGAATTCTCTGAGTCTGTGAGCCAGCGGATTTGGGCTTTGCGGCTCTGCATACATGGCATGTGGAAGAAAAAACATGAGCAGGCCACCTGCTTGCGCCCGCTTCCCCGTCGCCTCGAGCCAGTGGATCCCTTTGCCCTGTACAGCCAGAGTTTCGCTCATTCACCTCAGAATTGGAGACCGGAACTCCGACTAAGTTGCCATGCCCTGTGGAGATGTTTAATCTTTAATAAAGGGAACACGGTACACTATGAATGAAGAATCATAATTACCAGGTCATTAGGTGGGTGGTGTTTGTTAAAGTGGTTGAAGCTAAACAAGGCAATGTATCCTTGGTTACCAGGTGGTGCCAGCGTCTTTCTTCCTTCTGAGCCATTATATACTCAGATCCACACACAAATCCTCCGACCCCCAAGAAGGCACACATTTCATTGTTAATTTGGTGGATCGTGGGTCATTATCAACAATGATGACACAATGATCTATGCATATTGTAGTCAGTTTTCCAATCAACTCGCAGTGATGAAGTTATTCATCATGATAGGGTCGGAACAGGACAAAAAACAAGGAACAACTTGTACACAAATAGTTACTCTGCACAACTTGTAGGGCCCCAATGAAAGTTTCCCTGGCTGTGCATATGTCGTATGTGGTTCTAAGAGTGGTGCTCTTAAGTTAAGTTTCCCTAAACATCTAGGAACCAAATAACTAGTGCGAGCGTGAGCTATCCTGCGTCGTAGCTAGGAGCAAACTTTTCCTAGTAGCTTGCCTCCTTGCTTAATTAAGCAGGTGCCTGCTGAATTAAGTAAGGGTAAGGTCAAAAAAGAAAAACATTGAACAACAACAAAACAACAAACAAAACATACAAAAAACACATGTCCTGACATGTCCTGACCTAGATCTCTGGTTGAGGAACCCAATTACTAACCAAAGCCACGGATGTCCGCGTCCGAAAAAGAATAGTAATATATGTCGATCCATTCACATCCATGCAAGGTACAAAGAAGCCCGTCTCGAAGGGCTCAGACCTGACAGGATCAAACCATTGACGCTTAACACTTGACTCGCAAGGTGGCACCAAAAACGTTGCCAAACAAGGTGCTCTGGGCTGATTTATGGAAGGTGATTTAAAGGCCGCTCTGCCCCCTACCTAACGGCGATGGCCTCCAACCTATACTGGCGATGGCCTCCAACCTACTAGCGATGTCTAGCGATGGCCTAGTAGCGATGACCTCCAATCTACTAGCGATGGCATCCAACCTAGTAGCAATGGCCTCCAACCTACCAGCGATGGCCTGCAACCTGATAGCGATGGCCTCCAACCTACTAGCGATGGCCTCCAACCTAATATATAACCATGGCCTCCAACCAATAGCGATGGCCTCCAACCTACTAGGGATGGCCTCCAACCCAATAGCGATGGTCAGGGGCTCTGGTGATTTGTGGAAGGTTCAAATAATTTCAAAAAGCCTGTGAGGCGCTGGCGATGTTTCTTCACTGTCAGCATGCACTGGGGACACTCAGTTTTGAGAAAAAAGGGTGATGGTGCCATGACCCGTAAACAAAGAGTGAATACAAGCCTGTCTTATCCGCAGGTTTCGGAGTCTCAAATAATTGCAAATGATGACCCTCAAAACAAGCTGCCACATGCTGCCACCCAAAAAATCCAGTGGGAGGTGAGGACCCTCCCGTAGTGCCAAAAGAAAGTGCCAACAGTTGGAGTGTAAAACTGGGGGATGGCATGATGGATCTGGAGCTCGTCCAGCTGCAACATTTCCACGGAGAAACCTGATCAAAACTGGGTTTCTTCCCGCAGTCTCGGAATATGGAACCTGAACAATCGACCTGCCCCTCCCTGAGCAACAAACTGTGAATAAGTGCAACGATTTCTACGGCCGTGTCACTTGGGGGCAGTTTTGGAAGGTTTCAATGTTTCAATTGATTACCAGTGCAAACATGAATGACGAGTGTTGTAATGTCTAATATGTTCTTATATATATTTTATTAGTCTGAACCACAAACCAATATCTTACCATATTATCTTACCCATTCACGCAGTGACTCTATGTAGCTTTTGCAGGTATCTACTTGGATCGAATTCCTCAAAACAGGTTAGCTGCAATGATGAGGGAAACACCCGCCACTTCCACTCTAAAGCATCGCACAAAAAGCCGCTCCAGTGTAAAACCTTTTTTTTCGTCCGCTTCTTCGGAAGTGGAGCCTGTCTTTGCCCATGGCCAAACTCGGGGGGGCACGCGGCGAATCTTCAAATGCGCTCGGCCTCGTTCTCAACAAATGTAGGAAGCATTGATATGATATGCATTGATATCTGAACCTGATAGGTGGGCCTTGATAGCTCTGGGTGAAGAAATGAAGTTCGCTTCGGGAGGTTCTTTGGCTATGGTGACGAATGAAAGGCTACTCCGGGAACTTAGTCGAACAGTGTTCTCTACGGCCGGGTGGGTGCGCTTGAGCACCCTGAGTCAGTCACCATGGAAATCCCCGGGTGACTGTTTATTCAGTGCGGCGGCGTTATCAAAGTGTCTTCCACCTTGAACTGGGACAGCTTTTCCCAAACATGCTTGAACAAAATCATCACCCAAGCCACAGCTTAAAGGATCACGACTCCCTTGAATAATGCTTAGTAATTGAGTAGAACCTCCGAGATGGTTGATCAAAAAGAGCAAAATTGTATACAATAGATCAAAGAAAGCTTTATTCCTCCCAAAATATTAGCAGAGGTACCTTGGAGTCAGGATTCTAAAGGACATGTTAGCCACCCTAATTACGAGTAATGTCTGCACTTGCTGCTCAGCTACGACAGGCAAAGTACATTTAATCAATCGGCTTGACCCCTTTTTCACCCCAAAAGACAGTGAATACGTACCCCTGCTGCCCTGCTCCAGTTGAATGGTCCTAGGGACCTTGCATCAAACGTTGACCTTTTGAGGGTCACCCTTGCGGACTCACCCCACTGTGAAAACAATCATCAACAAAGGTGAATTCAGAAGTCGGTAGGGGACGCAAACTGGATGTAGGGAATGTGGGCTAGGATCATTCCGGGAAGAGGTGACATCCAATGAAGCAAGAGTCGACCAAATGATGCTGTTGAAGAAATCTTGGTTCATCTGTGATCAATGGCTCGAGCGCCCCGCGTGAGAACGCGGGACGAAGACATTCACGCCGGATGCATCTCCCGGTCATCGTCTCATGGTGCCAGAACTGTCAAGCAAATCCTAAATGGGTTCCCAAGTCGCAACATGCCGCAACTGGTGAGCTGAATGTATCAACGATCCAATCACCAACATGTTCTTGGGGTAAGGAGGAGGACGACACCTTTCTTCCAAGCTCCGGACGCCCAACATTGGAGGTGTCTGTTCAAATGTTCCTGTTGAGTCCTATTTCCTTGCTGGACGTCTTTGAGGGCAAACAACGCCAGCTTGCAAACACGAAGTCTCAAACTAACCATTCAGTTGAATGGAGGTGCTTCGCCGGCTTGGGTTAGAAGGGATCAGCTTTGCATCCGAACCTCAAGGAGCTTGGCACATGGAAGTGACCTCTTACCCTTCTGTGCTGTCCTGGCAGTTGACAAAGACTGCGCTGCTGCGGGGGAACCAACGGGTAGAATCAACGAAGATGCCAATCACATCTCCGTGAAGCTGGTTTCGCAAGATTTAGGTGTGCTCATGTGCCCATGTGCTCTCGTGGAACGGAAGGGTCCATAGCAAGAGACACCAGCCCATTTCTTGTGAGAGATCCCGTTGAGAAGCATTTTCTCAAACCCTTGGCCGAAGTAACGGAAGCATTCTCATTCATGTGCATGACTCAAACCCATTTCTTTCGGAACCTTCAGTGACTCATCAACAGCCGCACTCTAGGCATGCCTGGACTCAACTCAATGACCCGAACGGTTAAAGTCATTATTGAAATGTCACTCCTCCCCCGATGCTACTGCGTGGCAACAATAGGAAAACAGTCGAATAGCAATGGTCTTATGTATGGCCAATCCATATCCAAAATGTCTTTTCACAAGGACATCCCATCCAACATGAAACAACCATCTGGTTCACCTTTGCACCTGTCTGCATCGTTGTGAGCCACCACAAAACCTCCGAAAGGTGGCCAGAACTTCAGCCAACACATCTTTCCCAACCTGGTTGTTGTGGGCGAGCACCCAAACCTTGTCACAGTGAAGACTATCTTCTCACATGCTGCGAGACGCTCAAGAGCTGAGGGGTGCGTGCACATCTGCACTGGGCAGCCTTCAGATGCAACGGAAAGGAAACTGAAATCTTAGGTGCTGCGACTCTACGTATCAGTGCCCATCCGGGCATTAAGTTTCAGCAGGCTTCTTCTAAAGGAAGCTCATCTTAGAGGCATGAGTTGCATGTTCACTTCGTCATTTAGCAAACAGCACCGAGAATAACATGTCCTGCCAGCTCTGCCAAGCTGCTACTTTCCAAACCGCCGGTGGCGATGTTGAAACTGCTTCACGATGTCCAGCAGGTCCTTTTGTTCAACCTCTGGCCAATGTTTGTCGAGGAAGAAGAGCTCTGCATACGCAAGTTGAAACCTCACAAAGCAGCGGAGATTCAGAAATATATTATTTTCGTTATTTTATCTGCCTTATATAGTTAAGGCGAGAGTTTGACCCGGAATATAAATCCAACAAACATTCAAGCAAAATGAAAGCTTCTGATCTTACAAACTGGTACTAAGAGCATTATTTGCTGGTCCTAAAAGCCACAGCAAACACCCTGACCAAAATGCGATAGCCGCCTCCTTTGCCCTCCCGCAATGCATCACAGTCCTACCACTTGTCACACACTATCCGAATCCCGTCAATGAATTTGATGAAACAAAACCAGAACGGTCGTTCCCAAAAAACCAGTGGTTGGCCAGCTCCTCAAGATTTTGAGACGCGCCCCAAACTGAAGAACCGCGATTGACTGTGCTGGAACAGTCATTTGTGTGGAACCTAGCCCAGCTGGGCTGGCTACAAGGTAGAATCCAGAAGACTCTGCTAGACCCACTGGCAAAACCTTGGTACAACCCATCGTCTAGTGGTCTACTAATAGTTGTGAACTCTACCCTGACACCCGGTTTCTTTGGTACAGTTTGGCCATTCTGTTCTGTAAAAAGCTTCAAGTCCATAATGGTCTCTATGACTGGATACGCTGGGATCTTCTAGCTTTCTGAGAGTCCTACTAGCAACAGGACTCTCTGGGACAGGCTTCAACACCAACCCCAGTCATGCGAGTTCCAGGGGCCTCTTTGTCATGGTGCGAAGATAACAGAAACCAGAAAATGTCATCAAGATTCACGTGACCTAGGATTTATTGTGCTTTCCAATTATGCGATCAATCCAATCTAATGAATGGACATCCCTGCGATTTCTTGTGGCACCGACATATAGTGCCACGACTTAAAGGTCTTAAAGTGCACGGATCTTTGCAAGCAGTACTGGTGCAAGAATCTCTGATAAAACTGGAGTCTCAGGACTTGCCAAAGAAGCGGTACATATAGAGAAATTAACTGCACAATTTTTTGGGGCCTGGCTTATGTACCCAAGCGTCCCTACACAGTGGGTTCACCTTCTTTGCCCCCCGGACCGTCGAAGCAAGAAGCATCAAAAAGTTGCTCAGGCGCCGCTCGCCCGAGGTTCGAATCAAAACGTCCTCAGGACAAAAACCCCGGGCGCGCAGATAAATGGTTTTTTGATCCCTTTGCAACACAAACAAAGGGACCAGTTCCTGATGTTTGTGCTCTACACAGGTTTACCAAGGAGGTTGAAGAATTGATAGTTACAATTGCTGTAGTAACCCATGAAAGTAAGTTCCTTGAAAGGAGGATATAAACAAATACAAATCAGGATTTGCACTACGATACAATACTCGCCTCCAACCAAAAAGCGATGGCCTCCCCCTAAGAGAGATGGCCTCCAACCTAGTAGCGATGGCCTCCAACCTAATAGCGATGGCCTCCAAATCAGGCTTTGCCGTACGATGACTATGCTTATACATTGGTGTGCCACGCCGGCCACGCCTACTAAAGAACGCTTGCGGGAGGTGTCGCTTGGAGCGTATTGCTTCTTACAAACGAGGAACTCTTGCTATCATTGTTAAAACAGCCTGCACATTCTGGCTATTTGTCTTTATGCAGCATGCCAGAACCTTTGTGTCCAACTCAGCTGCATTTTGCATTCTGGCATTGTTTGTCCAATGCAACTAACTCTTGACAGGTAGCTCAAATACTGCTCAGGCTCTGAGCCATACCAGGTACTGTCACACCTCCTCAGAAACACACATTCATATAACGATATGATACCTAAAGGATCCTCTATCATATATCATCATGTGTATATATATATATATACCCACTCACATACTATGAGCCGCAGGACAGGACTCAGTTTATGTACTGCCGCATATCTGGCCAAACCCTGAGGCTTGGGTGCCTGTATGCTGAACAGCCGCCTGACTTATACGAGTTACATGTTGGACCCAGTCATCCATGTGTAAAAGGTAGTGTCAAGACATTATGGCCTGCCTGGCTGTGGCTGCCTGTGTAAGGTCACCTGGCCTTTAAAAGACAAGCTTTAAGCAATAGCCCGGTCGGTTGATTGCCCGGTCGGCTGAAGGTACAATCTCAATGTGATAACTCTTGCCTGATCCTCCTGCTTGGCAGCGCCCAGTTCACCATGGGGAGATACGTTGCCATGCTTGTTGGTGGGGCATAGACATGTGGCGCCCAAACTATCGCTTCCTACACTTGAAGACCGGAGGTTACATGCATGATATGACCAAAACAGGACCAGTAGAACAACCCCCAGTGTAAAGTGTCCCAATGAAGCCCAGCATCTGGATCTGGAATGTCTCCCGTCAGCAAGTGACTCTTTACCAGGGCATCATTGATCTTCTCCGGCGTCAACCTGGATGAGTGAGGGAACCCTGGCAACGATTATTTTCTCCTGAGTGGCCCCAGTCATGAGGTTCCTGCAGCATAATCATGAGCCCGCGGAGTTTGACCTTCAGAACACCCACAAGTTTGTGGGTCTTGGATTTGAAAGCGGCCTGTCCATCGGCCCACACTCTCGACTCATTGATGCCCTTTTGCGCATCCTTGCTAGTGATCGCGGAACAAACCACCACTGCCAGGAGAACACATTTTTTGTCCCAAGGATTCAACTCAAAAGATGACTCAGAATAGGTTGTAGCCTTCAAGTACGAGTATGAGTCTCCTTCCCTTCGCCACCTCCGCCTCTTTCAGAGATCCCAGTGGCTCGCTGCGCTGGACCTGTTCTGCAAGGCGTCGACAGGCCACGACCACGTCTGAACGGCCTCCATAGCTCAAACAAACGTTCAGCGTAAGCCCCGTGCAGGAGGAGGACAACTCCTGCGTGGTTTGGCGGACCAATGCTTCAGGGCCACACAGGCGCCCTGCTCGGGTATGTCGAAGTGGGCAGCTAAAACTTGGAAAGGACGAGCCCACAACGCTGCATGGACTTTCAAAGTGAAATCCAAAAAGGAGTCAGAAGCCTATTGATTACATCTCCATTCCAAACCCACCCCAATAATGTTGTGATGACTCATATTTGCTCAGAACAAACATGTCTACTGATGTCTAGTCTATACATGTATAATATATCCTATATTAATTATATATATATCCACCGACAATACTGCGGGATCCTTTTCTCCAGAATTTGAACTCAAAATCTCTCTGACTCTCTGTGAACCCTCTACTTGCCAATCCAACAAACAGTTTGCTCTCTGGATCCTAAGCATAGGTTGCAGCCTGTTGTATCTCATCCGTTCTCATCCAATTCCGCCCGAAAATCAAACCAATCCCATTCCTAGATCATGTATAGATTATTTTTTTTGCAGACTTGCCAAATTATTTGATAAACTATCTAAAGATACTATATATACTGTATATATTATGCTATGTGCATAAACTTATCATGCCAATCATATGAATCGCCCTGCAGGTCACTCCTCCAGCTCGGCCACCGCCTCCCGCACCTCCGACGGCAGCTGCTGGGCATCGCTGGTGAGGAAGCGCACGCGACAGTTGTGGCGCATAGCGTGGTCGCCCAAGCGAGGGACCTCCTTGGCGACGGGGGACATTTTCGAGTACAGCTGAGTCCAACACCATCTGTACCTTGGAGTCACCATCCACATGTTTTGTCATGTTTTCAGTGTCCTTTAAAGTCTTTTGTGTCTTCAAAGCCTCCAGAACAGACCTGTAGAACTGAGTGCTGATGGGACAACTCAGAAATTCGTCACCAGGCCAAAGCGATTAAGACAGGTGCTAGCCTAACAACATTCACCAAATAGGGTCATGGAATGTCATGGATACGGATTCGAAGGTCACAAAGCCAAATATAGGAGTTTTCACTCTCGCACTCGAGACCAAGTGAGTGGCTCAAATGTGTTGAATAGTTGGGTTGGGGACTCATTACAGAGATCACCGGAAGGATTGGGCCGGCAAGAAAACGGTGTGACGTCACACACGTCTCAAAAAGTCCCATGCGCCCCGTTAACGGACTGGTTTCCTTTGTCTCGGCGGTCTAACGGCACACAATTGGACATCTATAGTTTGTTTAGTTAAAGTATTGCTGATCGTTGTAGCTTGATTTGTTTTGGGGGGGCATGGGATTTTTCATGATGAGATTGTGACCAAACCTTTCAGCCCAAGTCACTGATAAAAAGAGATCCATCATGGCCTGGCATGAAACCGTTGGTGGATATATGCGTCAATGGTTGGCGGAGAATATCAGATTGGTGAGATTAAAACAATAGAAATCCAGAATGCCTAGAGTCTCCGAAATCAACACAAATGGATACACATGCATTGAGATTGCTGAGACAATGGTGTGTTGAGACTCCAAGTGTTATGGAAGCAATCCAAACATAATAAGCCCGAGTGTGTCCACTGCTTGCTAGAAGCCAAAGAAGGGGACTGCTAGCAGTGAAGAAGCCAAACAATTCCAAGCCCCCAGGGCCTAGGACACGGCTTGTGCCCTAGAATTGAGACAAATATCTGGAAATCTCCCACTATGTGTAAGCCGTATCTCCTTTTGGCCTCCTTTGGTGGGTTTATCCAAATGCTTTTGGACGCCAAAGTACTCCTAACCTCCCCATGTGTTTTCGCCAGGAAGACATCTGTGCCAGACTCGTCTGACCATGAAAGTAGCATCTCAGAGGGCTTCTATAGAAAGTTCCCATTGAGCATGGATGGCCAACCCATGGCCCGTCATGGCCCTGGGCGCATCTGCGAAACGCACAGACGCCTGGACCTCTTGAGGGTCACGTTTCCAGTTCTCCGTGGAAAAGGCAAAGACCGTCAAGAACTCCTGAGGGGTGAGTTCGCGAGACTTCCATGGGTTCCTACATGTTCCCACCTTGTGAACCATGTCGTGTTAGGGGATGATCATAGAAGCATCATGTACTGGAAGCTACCCTTTCATTGAGATTTTGTAAGCATGTTGTTGCTTGGCACCTTCAGCTGATTTGTGTTGCCCTCACTAAAGAAGTGAACGGGCAAATTCTGAAATAAGCCTTGAACATATTATAACATGTATAGCTAGAGTTTGATTGAAGCCTTGCGGTTCTTCCTTTTGAACAGTTTAGCTTTTCAGGTGTCTTGTTGGAAATTCATGAGTGTTGGCAATCAGTGTAGAAACACAATGACTGTGGTCGAGACTCGACTCCCAGCTCGGAACACCAAAGGATGAATTCCCTCAGCTTCTCCCCGCCCGCGCGATGACCACTCAAGGAATCGCCATACATCCTGAGACAGGCATACAAAACCAAACACCGCAGGCAGAACAAGCGGCAAAAGGACATGTTTGATGCCGCGATCACATGACCGAACACCAAAGTTGTGAAACGCAGCGAGTCCAGGGCTCCTCTGAGATTTGTAGAGGAACAAAGTGAAGTATGCTAGCGTGGTGGAACTGGGGTCAAATTCACGTCAATTTGCTATTTGACAGCATGATGGCTAGACTTCTGGGGAACAATTAAAGTATGAACTATACGAACTTTCACATCCTTGGACAAACCGGATAACTTACTGAGCAGCAGGAAGAACACAACCTTTATGTCACTCATCACTACCGGTACTGGACATGGCTATCCAAAGCTTAGAAGAGGCACGCTATGGCTGCTATGGGTGGTGGCAACCATCTTCCAAAACCGTTGCTGTAAAGAGCGGGGCCGTTAGATGATGTGGATCAAAGCGGAATGGCTATGTAACAGTGCCTAACACATGATGCATTCTTCTTGAACCATGGAGAGCAGCCAGCTTTGCGGGGCCACCAACATCATCTACCTCGAAGAATGCACAAGTTTTAAGGAATCAAGGACTGGTTTTGGCAAGTTTGTATGGAGCGAAGTGCTTTTTAAACACTAATTGACCTGAAAGAACGAACACCTTGCAAGTTTCTACCAGTAGTAACAAGAAGCTATTAGAAACAAGTGCATCGCTTCTAGTAACAAGTGCATCGTCTCTACTTGATCAGCGTAACAGTGACTACTCCAGTGTTTCATTCATTGAAGCTACCACCTTCGCCCGACCAAGGTGCTGTCGGCCAAATCGCCGATTCCCGTCCATGATCACTGCCACATGCCGTGGTGGATGAGCGCCAAGCGACATGGAAATGTCCTCTGCTTTCCTTGGATGGTCCAGCATTGAGTTCGTGACTGACAAAGAGGCAGCTGGTGAACTGATGTAAGGCTTGAATTGGGTAGTTGTCTTCGCTAAAGTGCCAGCGAAAACCCGTGCAGGCAAGGATCAAGGCTCGATAGAAAACCATGAACAGGGACGTGTGCACATGTGTCATTGTGAAACGGACAAGTTTTGTACAAGTTCTCCTGTACCACATGATCAAGAGACACAAGAGTACCCAATCCAGTGGGGCTGCATAACACAATGGGTAAGTGTCCCAACTTCCTCTCTGACATCAGAAATCGCCGTTGGGTTTTCTGTGTCTTAAAATGGCAAACCCCGCTCCAAAAAGTGTTTGTTCGCTCGTCATGAAGGTCCAGCAAAAGAAACAACTTGTTGGTCCTCCAAGTCTCTCTGTACGAAAGACTCCCAGATCAGCACCAATGGCGCGAAGCGCGGCTACCACAGCCCAGCCACCTCCCGCCGCACCCACCGCACGAAGCGCAGCTTGAAAAGCATACCACAGGCGCAAACACGCGCCATACAAAGCGCGAAAGTAGGACATGGCAGCCATGACTTTGAAAGTGAGTGAACAAGCAAAGCTCGTGGTTTGCTTCTCTGTGTTGCGATGTGTTTAGTGACTTAGTGGATACTGCATAAGTGATGAGTCAATCCAAGCCTTTCGGAGGCGCCCCATGGAGACCTCCAATCTGCTTTTAAAACGGTTTGTCATGATTTGTCAGTGATCAACAACCTCGCCTTTTCAGCTGTACTGGCAAAGATCTGGAAACGGCGGCATGACTGTACTCGGTGTGACGCGTAAAGTTTACCCAGTATGCCATTAAACATCTGTGCGATATTATATATATATATATACATGCAGTAAACAAACATAACATCAGGTTGAGAACACACATACCAAATATTGGGAGGTCTAATCTAAGCAGCATTCATCAGTGACCTAGACATATCCCCCAACGGTCCCAATCGGTACTTCCGCTCCGCAACAAAGTGGGAATGATGGATCCTGTCTGTCATCACATACAAGGAGTGGATCAACATGACGCCCAATGACAAGGTTCTTTGACAGGGCAATCATGTCTGAGACCTGCGGCCCGGAACCCCAGTGCAAACCACAAAAAGAACTCATCCAACAGATTAAAGATTTAACTGGTTGGGGCCAAGTTGCGGCTGGGGATTTATAATGATTTATATAGTTGATAGATCTTGATCCACGCCCACCACTCTAGCTCTGGTCCCACAAGCAGGTATTGGGCTGGTGGCCGTGGAGCTCCCTGCCTCACATTCTCAAAGTGAATGTCGTGCTGCATGTGACACCTCCCGGGCGGTGCTGAGAGAGGAGGCAGCTCTGGTCGGTTCCGACCATATCGAAGGATCCTCATAGCGATAGCCTCCAACCTAAATAGAAACAATAAGCTACTAGGAACAAGTGCATCGCTACTAGTAACAAGTGCCTTACTAGTAGTAACAAGAAGCTAGTAGAAACAATAATTTAGAAGCGATGGATCCTCAGATTTTCTTGGTGAATTTGAAGCTGTTCAAGCACCCTCTGCTCGCTCTCAGTCGGGGAACCGGATCGCCTCACCGCAGTGGATGACTGCTGAAGGACCGCCGTGCAGTTGTCACAGAAGTCACACCTGCCAGGGCTCGACCTGGGTGTGGTTTGTTCCCCAATTGAGCATGATACTGGCTGTGCACTGGAATGTGAGTATTTTAGTCAATGTTGCCTCTCTAAAGATCCATCGGTCTCCCGAATTCCATACACACCCTGTCTTATGAACACAAATGTGGGGATTGTAGCAGTTACAAGCCTTCAGTCCCTGCAAAGTGGGACCGTAAACAGTTGTGATAAGAGTGAAGATCTCAGTCACAACTCTGGGAAACCTTTATGTCCCGGGGCAACTCTTTGAAAGTTGACAGGAACATCTCCTCATTGCCTCCTGGTCGTGGATGGGATATGATTGGATAACCTTTGGTGAAATCGTAGGAATCTCACTACATTGGCTATACTGGCATTGAAGGAATCCTGTCACCAACATCCCCAACCATTTCAAACAGTAGGATCATCCTTTGAATCTCAATCATCTAACACCTCTGGCCCGTTCGAGAAGACCTTGTCCTTTCCATCCAGAAGTTCCCGACTGCAAGGGGGGCCTTGCGTTTCCAGATTGAACTGGGTGTTCCGGTTAAGTTCCCTAAAAACTTCCAAGGGCGTCATCTGTACCTCACAACTTTGTCGATTGAACAGGCGCAGTACACACCAATAGCCTCGACCTAAGTCTGAGCGATCTGCAACCAGAAACTGTCACGGAAGCCGCCACCTCAACACCTGTATCTCCCCTTGGGCAAGAAAATATCCTACTGCCAAACACAAGCATTCGTATTTCAGTGAGATTTGATAACACCAAGAAATAACTCAAAACATCCTCCCCATCCAACTGAAGCATTAAGGTCAATAAGGCTTCAGTGCCTGGAGATGCAATCGTCCAAGGTCTTGCACTCTTCGCGGCTGCAGCCCGCGGTGCCAATGGGGTCTAAAATCACATGCCTGCAGTCGCTATCATTCCTGGCGCCAGCTGGTTTCAGGTCAAAGTCGAGTCTCACTCGTAGAGTTCTATTCACATGTTGTGTTTATGCCAAACGAATATACAGGGCCGAAAGGCCAAAAATGACTCTGTATGTATAATATGTTCTGATCTTATTGCTTTCCTTTAAGAGTTGGCAGATGGGGCAGTTCACTAATTCAGGTGAAGACCCCATGGTTTCGCTTGGAAATCCATTTGCCATCATTTGCCAATCACACTGACGATGTGACAAACACGTTTTCTACATGGTGCAGCAAACGTAGCTTTTGCAAGGCGGCCTATAGCTGGCATCCGGCAGGGCTGGAGGACGTTGATAGCGCCACCAACCGCAATAGTCGACAAAACCGATGCTCTCAGCATTCCTTGGAGCACTGCTCTGGCCAACGTGAACACCTCTTGAAAGGTATAGAGTATAGAGAAGGGTTCGGTTCAGCTGCGTTCCAGGTTCAAAAGGGTGAAACACATTTCCAGCTTCGGTTGGTTTCCGAGCCTTGCAGTTCACCTCTCCAAATGTTTTTTGTTCCATTTTTGCTGTTGTCATAGTCACTTCGACGTAGCAGAGATGGGGAAGTTCCTCTTAGATTCTCAACTGGCATGCATGTGGCAGCTCTGGAGTGCGGAAACCCTGTTCTTGGCTCTGCAAAGGGCCTTGCATGTACGGATTGTTTGAAATCCAGATAGCAGCCTGCAGCAGCATTGTGGCCTGGGGAACTGACTGAAATCCCAGTCTGATCAAATGGAGTATCTACATCCCTGCTTGGTGCTTGCTCAGGCGTGGCATCACCTCTGACACCAAAGCGCTGCCGCTCTGAATGAACCATTATGAACCATGTTTCAGCCAAGAATCTGCAAAAGCCATTGGGTGTCTCCAGAGAGGCACAACGCCTGCGGTATACCCACCTGCCAGAGCACTCTTCCCAGAGTGGCAACCCAAATGTAGCTGGAGTTGAAGGTTCTCAACCATGGGTAGGTCGGGGGACACAACGGAATACAACGAGAGGTTAAGATTCCACTCAGACCACCTTTGGGGATCAAGCGCCCGAAATCTTGAGTGTGGCTCTAGGTACAAACACCAGGTTGACCGTCTGGTCACAACATGCGGACAACTCGGATGACCCAGTAACACACTCGCTGCGCACAATTGTTTAATTTGACAGCGTTCTTTAAAGCTAGAACGAAATTGGATGTTGACTGATATTGATATCGCTGAATCATTTGACTGTGAGGTGAAACACCAGGACCCTGGTTGACCGACCCACTACACACGTGATCCATGAAGTCGCTACTCAAGACCCTTGAGTTCAACTGGGTGTTTGCGCAATCACGACCTGAAAATAGTGCACAACAACTACTGTATATTTATAATATACATGTGGAACCAAAAGAACAGCTTGCAAATAACATTACACAAGAAAAATAGCAAAAAAGGCATGGACTAAGTAAAAACAAAAGATAAGTACAACAAAAAGAAAACACAGGCCGGGAAGGGGATCCAAGCATGAAAACATATCGGTACC